CTCTCGGCGGAATAATCCTATTATTGGAGGACTAAAAGAAGATGTCAGTGAAACTGAAGACATTTTACGTGAGAAGGTTATTGCTGAAGTTTTGGACAAGGTGCAAAACCTTACAATTGACTCAGTGGAACTAATTCATCGCTTAGGAGCAAAACAGGAGGGCAAAAATCGACCGATTATGCTGAGAGTTCAGATTTCAAAGATAAAAGTAGTGTTCTTCGGAACTGCTTCGAACTAAGGGGTAAGCAACTCAACATTATCGAAGATTTTTCAAAATGAGTTGCCGAGATTCGCAGAAAGTTGTGGGACTCCAGTGCTGAGGAGAGAAAATTGGGGATTAAGGTTAGGCTAATCTATAACAAAATTGAAATAAAAAAATGCGGTGTATGGTTGAAATGGGAATACTAATATGAGGTGCTTCTGTGCGACCCCTCCTGGAAAATCCGACAGACGCTATGATAGCGACTGATGGCATCAGAGTAGTTTTTTGCTATTCAAGTTAATAAACATAAATGTAAGCTTGAACAAATTGACTGATCTTGAGGCATTAGTAATAGAACATCATGCCGACTTCGTTTTAATGACGGAATTGTAGTGGCCGCGTGTGCCGCCGGTGAATGAACGACTAGACAACTTGAGTGCCCATCGTAACAAAAGCCCCTTTTATTCCAACTTGCGCATGCTTATATATAAACAACACTGGCGCCACCTGCGGCAGTGATCGTGGAACCGAAACAAAACAGACCAATATACAACATATTCCCTTCCTTAAAAACAGCTATATAGATTAGTGATTTAGTAGTTTAGTGTGTTAGCACATATGCAAAAAAACACTATACAAAAATGCAACCTGTACAATGAACGTAACTATTTAGTATTACAAAATCACACAATTTACAAAAGGAATCCACCGCACTGGATACGTCCGTTTCATTCACTTTAGCACAGCTTCTCTTGCTATACCTACTAGCCTTAACGCTCTGGTGGTAGTCTCTTTCTTGGTGGTTGCACCCTGCGTTGTTGTGTGACTGCTCCTGGAGACTTGGCTGACTGCATCGCAGCGGGCGACCCGTGCGCCTGCACAGCCGAAGGAGACGTGGGTGCCTGCGCAGCCGAAGGAGACGTAGGTGCGTGCGCAGGAGACGTGGGTGCCTGCGCAGCGTACGCAGAAGACGTGGGTGCCTGCGCAGCCAAAGGAGCAGCAGCTGAAGTCCTGGTAGTTATGTCTGGGGTGCCCCCCCCCCCATGTAGGCAGAGATCCTCCTCTCCTAGCTGTACTGTTTCCTCCCCACGTATAAAGGGCGGTAGAGGCTCGTGGCACTTTTGAGAACTTAGATGCATTCCACGTTTTGCCGTCAGCTTGGCGAAAAGAAGAAGGTCCCTTCCTGCTGATCACTTCTCTTGGGTGGCTGAATTCCAGATCGCCTTTAAATGTAGTTGTGGGTTTCTTCACTCTGACAAAGTTACCAACGTCAACTCTGGTTTCTCTTGCAGCCCTCCGAGCGTCCGTGTATCGTTTGCTGCTCTGTTGATTTTGCTTTACCCGCTCACGTAAGCGCCGGAGTTCCGAGTTAGGGTCATCAAAGAAGGTTACCGACGGATGCCCGGTGACATCCAACCGAGTTCTTGGCAGCCGCCCATGTAGCAGAAGAGCTGGAGCCCTTGCCGTTGTAGCATGCGGTGTGCATCGGTAAACACCCAGGTACTCTGTTACCGCCTGGCGCAAGGGTCGCTTCTCAAGAACCGCCACTTGAATGAAGCTTTTTAATACTCTGTTAAAGCGCTCCACTTGGCCGTTTGCTTGTGGATAGTATACGAACGAATGTTTGACCTGGATGCCGCGATCTTGTAGAAATACCTTCAACTCCCGAGCTGCAAACTGTGGACCGTTATCGCAAATAACCTCTTCTGGGTAGCCTTCGCGCGCGAACACAGCGTCTAAGAAGCGTATTACTGTGCTGGTTGTCGTCTTGCTACAGAAATGCACTTCGGGCCATTTGAAATAATAATCTACAAGCGTGATTGCATATCTGCAATTGTAGGGCGCCCTCTCAAATGGGCCTACAATATCCATGCAGAGTTTGAGCCACGGCTGCTCTGGAAAGAGGACCGGTTGCAAGGGTGTAGCTCGTACCTTGACGCTCTTGTCTGCTTCCTGGCACATGCTACACATCTGGATAGCTAGCTCGACTTGGCGGTCCATGCCCGGCCACCAATACTTTTCTCGCAGCCGCGCTTTTGTTCGCACCACTCCGGGATGCGACTCATGTGCTGCAGCGGTCACCTGCTGCGTGAGTGACGTGGGAACCACAAGACGTTTGCCACGCAAGATAAGATTGTCTACCACAGAAAGTTCGTCACGTACTTTGAAGAATGGCTGAAGCTCGGCCGATAACACTTTTTGTGCAGGCCACGACAATTGCACATAGATTTTGCTTTGTTGAAGTGCGCTATCTTGCAGTTGGGAATGCTCAAACTGTTCTCTGGTAATGCAGGAAGGAATTTCAAGAACTGATACAACTCCGTCAAACAGCGTCTCTTATTCCTGGAAAGATAACGCGGGTAGGCGTGAGAGTGCGTCCGCCACTTGGATTTGCGACCCCTTGCGGTACTCGACTGTATAGTTGTACCGTAGTAGGCGCTCAGTCCATCGCGCTACCCACAAGGGGCGTATTCCTGTTCCTTGGGTTGAAAACAATACCACCAAGGCTTGATGATCAATGAGCAATGTGAAGTGGCGTCCCCACAAGTACACGTGCCACCGCTCGCACTCCCAAACACAGGCCAAAGCTGCCCGTTCTCCTACCGAATATTTCCGCTCAGCTGGCGAAAGGACTCGAGACGCGAAAGCAACAGTCTGCAGTTTATGTCCGTCCACCTGCTGTAGGACCGCTCCAACTCCACACTCTGATGCGTCCGTCGACACTAAGACTGGAAGGGATTCATCCAACATTCTTAGCGCAGAGCTAGATGCCAGCGCGTCTTTGGCCTTTCTGAAACTAGCGTCTACCTCGTCAGACTAAACGAATCGCTGCCCCTTTCTTAGCAGGACACGCATTGGGTCAACCATGTCAGCGAAATAGGGAATAAGCCTAGAATATTATTCCACCAATCCCAGAAATGATCGAAGGCCTGCTGGATTCGTAGGCGTTTGAGTGTCTCGGATGGAAGCAACCTTTTCTTTCAACGGCACAATACTGTTTGCGGTGATCCTGTGGCCCAAGAACGCAAGCTCCGGCGCATCGATGACGCATTTCATGTTCAATTTGAGTCCTGCCTCTTTTATGCACCTCAGAACTGCGGTAAGATTCGCCATGTGCTCCTCTCTGCCCTTCCCAAACACAATAATGTCATCGATATACAACAGGACGCCGCTGCAGCCCTGCAGAATTTTCGACATCATACTCTGAAAAGCAAATGGTGCCAGCGCGAGCCCAAAACACACGCGTTTAAAACAAAAGAGGCCGTCGTCTGTTATAAAAGCAGTTAAATCGCGGCTCTCGGGGTGAAGCATGACCTGGTGGTACGCTGATGCAAGGTCAAGCTTGGAAAAGTGGGTTGCCCCCACTATACTATGCAATAGCTCTTCTGTATGAGGGAGGGGAAAGCTATCTGCTACGACGGTTTTGTTTACCTGTCGAAGATCTACACAAAGGCGGATACCTCCATCTTTCTTTTCAACCACAACGATGGGAGACGCCCACTCGGATGCCTCTATTCGCTCTATCACGTCTATTTTTTCCAAGCGGCGCAGTTATTTCGAGACTCGTGGCCGCAGTGAGAGGGGAAGGCGCTTGAGTTTTGAAGCAACTGGCTGAACTGTCGACCGTGTTTTGACGCGATGAACAGAACCCTTTGCGATGCAAAGTCCTGGATTGAAAAGAGCGCCAAACTCTTCGACTAATTCTGATGGAAGGTGAATGGACTCCTCCGCCTCTGTCATGATTGCAGTGTGCTGCGTTCGAGCGCTAGTACACAGCGCTGTCGTTTCAAGGCACTGCAGTGACGACCCACCAATCTGCAGACTGAGCGCCCTAATTGCATCAATACCCACAAACGAGGTGCCTTGTTCAACGACATCAAAATAAGCTTTGTTGTGCAGTTATTGTACGTGACATCAGCAAAAAAGCAACCGCACACTGGAATGGGTTTCTTCGAATAGTTAAGTAGTCTAATTCAAGCAGCTGAAAGCTGGCGACCTGCAAAGTGCTGCCTAAATAGGTCATGCGTCAAAATCGATACTGATGACCCTGAATCTACGAGGAAAGTTAACTTCGTTTCCCTAACTGCTACCGATACGTAGATTGCGAGACGAGTGGATGTCGTCACGGCAAGAATGCTCAATACTTCTTCAGTTATCGAACTTTCATCGTCTAGTTCACGAAGAGGAGTGGCGTTTCTGTTGCAGACTGAGCGAAAATCACCCATAATACTGCAACCATGACACCGCTTGTTTTTGGTGGGGCAGCGGAATGAAGGTGCGTTGTGCCGAGGTGAACCGCAGCGGTAACACTGGCCCTGTTGGTTGCGCAACCGCTTAGAGGGGTCGCTGGCAGAAGATGCGGGCGGAGGGGTGTTTTCGCGAGCATTTGTGCTCTGGACATCTGCAGTAGAGAATTCTTTGCAATCATTGGTTGCCTGCTCAAGCTGCGTCGTTATTAGTACAGCTCGAGTGAACGAAAGAGAAGACCCTTCAAGCAGCAACCGCTCGCGCAAGTTCCGAGATATTACGCCCGCAACAAACTGGTCACGCAAGGAATCTTCCCGAGAAGCAAAAGAGCACGTAGTAGAAAGCTCACGTAACGCGGTAATGTAGTCATTGATTGTTTCACCGACTTGCTGCACGCGCCTACCAAACCGGTGCCGTTCGACCACAACATTTGTTGTTGTCGTGAAGTGCGCATGCAGCGCTACGACAGCAGTATCGTACGACGACGCTTCATGCTGTGTCTGAGAAGTGTACTTGACATTTCCCGAATCCGTATCAGAAGTTGGCTCACCGGACTTTGCGTTAGCAGAAGACTGAAGCGGTAGTGTGTGAATTATGCGCTGGCCTTCTACGCCGAGGCTGTGGATGAGGAGAGCCTTGCAACGGTCCGGCACACAGTCCGAAACACCAGATGCGAGCAGAAAATTCTCGAAGATGTGGATCCATTGTGGCCAGGCAACAGCAGGGTGGCCAGGCTTGGGCAAGAACGGGGGTGGTGGTGCCAGTCCGGAGACACTCATGGTGCGGGAAACAGTCGGCGAAAGTGACGAAAATCACACCCCTTCCTAAACCAGCACCCTTGTCTCCAATGTAGTGGCGGCGTATGCCGCCGGTGAATGAACGACTAGACAACTTGAGTGCCCATCGGAACAAAAGCCCCTTTATACCAACTTGCCCATGCTTATATACCTAAACAACACTGGCGCCACCAGCGGCAGTGATCGTGGAACCGAAACCAAACAGACCATTATATAACAGGAATCATGGCTCAAAAAGATAATTTATAGATGACAAGGTTACCCCTCGCAGATACGAAATGGTGAGAAGAGACTGTGAAACAAGAGGAGGTGTTGTTGCAATGTTAACTAAAGACAATATATCAGTAAGTGTTCTTGCGCATGCTTTTGAAGCGGAAACTCTTTATATGAAAACCACGCTGAGTAATGGCGCGGTGTATATTGGTGCTATTATAAACCACCGAACGCCACTGTAGACGTACTTGATACACTAAGAAGCTTTATGGACTCCCACCTGAAGCATGGCGATAATATCCTCTCAGGAGATTTTAATCTCACTGGAAATAATTGGTCAACGCTCACTTCCGAGGGTCGCCAAATCACTAAAATTCATGAGCTGCTAGAACTCGCTTTCTTTTACGATCTCACTCAGCTTGCCTCATCGCGTACGCGTGTAGGTACAACTGGTTCCTTAATGCTTGACTCGATAGACTTATCTGGATTTCTCTTCCTGTTTCTTCGTATGTGTGAAATTGATGATGGTCTTTCTGATCACAAAATTATTTTAATGTATTTAAATATGTGTGCTAATGTCATGCGCAATGACGAAAAACTTCTGATTCCAATTTTGGGGATGCCAATAACTTACTTATACTAGAACATATGGAACAGCCATATTATTTGTTTCTGGAAAAGTATCTAGCAACTTGATCAACAGAAGGACTGCGGCAGTTTTTTTCATTCTACGATAATATTTTGCGTCCAAAAGTTTATCCTGAAACATGGTAAAATTGTCAAAAAACGCAACCGTTGAATAACAGTCGACATAACACGTGCTAAAAAAGATTCAATGCAAGTGAAAGGCATGCACTGCTGATGCAGGCATTAAAAAAAATAGTATCCAGCTTTTAGGTAAAAACATCACGCGAGTGTAGACACCTCTAACAATTGGTTTTAAAACTCAACATCAAAACAATTTTCTAAAGGATTCCATTATTAATTTTGGAGGTATGTGAATCCTTCAGCGAGGCCAAATGGTATGGCTAGCCGAAAAGGAAGCAAGGATAAGGCAGAGGCATTTCAATCCTTCTTGTCGTCAGTATTCACAATCGATGATGGTATTGTTATCAACATCAGTGATTCCTCAGACAGGATTCCTATCCAGGATAAGAGTATCACTGAAGAAGGTGTTCTCAACCACTTGTTTCATAATAATAATAAAAAAAGCCCTGGCCCTGATAATATTCTCGATGAATTTTTTGTAGATATGCCAATTGGTCATCAAAGTTTTTATCGTTAATTTTTAAATCATCTGCTACTAGTGGCACTTTTCCCAGAGATTTGAAGCTTGCGAAAATCGTGCCTATCTCCACAGGTGGTTCTACATTTGACACTTGTAATTACCGCCCTATATCGCTTGAAGTACCTGTTTTAAAATTTTAGAGCACATTATATCAAAGCACTTGTTGACCTATTTTGATGAACCTAACCTAATTAATTCTGGTCAATAGTGTTTTAGAAAAAGGTTCTCCACAAATACTTAGCTTATTGAGCTCGTGCACGACCTTTCTAGCACTATTAATACTCGTGGTCAAACTGATATATTATTGCTGGATTTCGCAAAGACTTTTGATAAGGTGTCGCACATGAAGCTCTTAAGATCGATGTTATCTTTGAAAATTCTGCCCTTTACCGCTGGTTTTGTTCCTATCTCTAACAAAGGGAACAGTATGTTCAACTAGGACAGCACCAATCTGGTTTATCTCCTTTTGTATATGGGGTTCCCTAGGGTAGTGTTTTGGGGCTCTTCCTGCTCCTGGTGTTCATAAACAATCTGCCAAAAATATTACAACCCAAATAGGAACGTTTTCTGATGCTTGCATACTGTACAAAAATATAAAATCACCGAGTGATCAGGCTGAACTTAATGTTAACCTAAAGTAAATTAGGAACTGGTGTGATGAAAGGCAAATGCAGCTTGATTCAATAAAAACCATATTTATGTCCATTTCCAGAAAAAAGAACATTCTTAGTTACCCTGACAGTATTAATGGTCACGAGCTTTCTCACGCTCATGAATACAGATGCCTAGGTCTGATATGAACGCTTGACTTGCGCTGGAATCTCCACGTAGAGAAACTTAGTTTAAAGGCTAGTAAGGTGTTATGGGGCCTGACGCGTAACCTCTACTGTGCGTTTCCCGAAATTAAGAATACAGCTTTCAAAACCTTGCTAAGGCCCAAAATCGAATATGTTAAAGTAGCTTGGGATTCATATACACTTACTAACTGTTAGAAACTTGAGAAAATACAGGATCTAAGTTTTAGGCTTATAGTACCACCATTTTCATTCACCTACTGAATTATGTGAACTTGTAGAGCTATCACCACGTCAAACGCAACTGAATTCGAAAGGCTAAAATTAATTTTTTTAATAATTCATAATCAGGCTAAAATAAGCTACGATAAGTACGAGATTAAAACGCAAGAAACATCAAGACACAGTAGGGAGTTTTAAAATAGCGCACCGCGAGCCCTTGTGGTGCGGTCGCTGCCTCTGCGCATGCGTCGTACGCAAGTCGGCATTCGCGTTCGCGGACAGCACGCAAAAAATCTGAAATTGCGTGTGGTAATGGCGGCCCGCATGTGGCCCGCAAGCGCTGGTTTCGAGGCTACGGTGTCGCTGCGATCGTGCGTTGCGGATCGCAGCAGGGCAAACGCTTTTCTAAAACTTATATGGCGCCCGCTATGCCCACAGCGCTTGCAAACGGTATTTTAAAACTCCCTAACTCCCTAGTATGCCCCGCCATGGTGGTCTAGTGGCTAAGGTACTCGGCTGCTGACCCGCAGGTCGCGGGCTCAAATCCCGGCTGCGGCGGCTGCATTTCCGATGGCGGCGGAAATGTTGTAGGCCCGTGTGTTCAGATTTGGGTGCACGTTAAAGAACCCCAGGTGGTCGAAATTTCCGGAGCTTTCCACTACGGCGTCTCTCATAATCTTATAGTGGTTTTGGGACGTTAAACCCCACGTATCAATCAAAAACTCCCTAGTATGTACTATCGAGAGCAATATAAGCTCGAACACGCGAGCGCGCGGCAGATGGCCTCAAAAGCAAGATAATGCGATGCGTGAATGGTGCTGCCGAAACAGTAGGGGGAGAGGAGGGTGCTCTTACACTCACTGTTGGCACTCCCGCATGTTGGTTCCTTTGAAATGGCAGCTGATCGAACGCGTGCTATCAGTGGCTAGCAATGATAACAATAAAATAAAATGCACCAAAAACAAAAGTGAAAGATGCGCATGGACCCACATCAAAATGTTCAGCGAACACCATCTAGATGCAACAATAGCATGGCAACTGCATCATGGCAGGCTACGTCACAGCCGATATCTTTGTAGCTACACCTCTTGATTGGTGTGGCTGCGCGCGTTGACTTGAGGTCATGTCACCGCTAGCAGCCACAGACATGCTATAAGCTGCATCTTGCAACAACAACATCAAGACGGGAGCGCCAACAGCAAGGGGAAGTGCGCCGCACTTTCCCCTTTAATTCAGTAAGCGGCCGCTGTGAATCAGCAGATGTAGGGTTCGAGGCTGATCACCACACGCTCGTGTGTTCAGGCTCATATTGCTCACGATAGTACATACCGTCTCTCATAGGTCATAGATTGTTTCAGGTACAGTTTCTTCCCTAGGGCAATTCAACAGTGGAATTTGTTGCCTGATCGTGTAGTGAAAACTGAATCCCTTCCTGAGTTTGAGAAGTCACAAGCTCAATAGTGTTTTCTGATTTCATGCTATAAATTAAGATGATTGTTGTAAATAATGTTCCTTGTTTTAAAATATGATTTTTATTATCTGTTTTGATAAGTTGTATAACACAAGTTTCAGCAGTGACACTTGCTTCCTGTGGTTTAATTAGGAGCTTGCAATTATAATACTTTTATTATCTGAATCTCGATTCGTGCCGTGAAGAGATACTTGTTTTTGTAACAATTAATTTTTTCTTGTTTCTCTTACGCAAATTTTGTTTTAAATACGACTTCTTTCCACTCCTGTAGTGGCCCTACAAAAAGAGGTGACAGCATTAATAAATAAAATGAAAATGAATGAAAAAATGAAATGAAAACAGGCCGCAAAACGCACTTGCCAGTTTGGCTTGGCTTGGCTTGGATTCAATTGAAGCTCTAAGCAAGAATGGTTCGCTTGAGGCTTAAGAGGTGGCGCGAGGTGGCGTGCGCTATCATTATCTGTGTTTGAAAAGAGTAGACTACATAACTGCGGCAATTTTCGGGGGTGCGATAATTAGTCGCGGAAAAAAGAAATGGTATTTTTGTTGGGCGGTGTGGGGGGTGCAAGAATTATGCGAGTGCGACGACCAGGCGAGTAAATACGGTACATGCAGACAGGAGTTAGTGATCTTATGAATAAAGTGCGATAGTTTTTTTACATCTCTTTAGATCTGGGGTATCACTGAAATATGTAAACTTGGAGGTTGTTGAAGTTGTAGCCTCCTATAAATTGCTATCACTTTTCTTGACAGTGGTGTGAAAGCTGAAGAACTGAACAGCAAGCCTGCTACTTGGGCGAAAAATGCTTCAGACGTTTAATGATAATTTCTTGTTTGCCTTGCGGAAATAAGTGCTGTTTTATTTATTATGAAACTTGTGTGGATCCGAGGCCCCGTGCCCGCGACAATTTTGCGGGCAAGATGGTATTGCTTCGGCGCAGCTCAGTTGAAGGGTGAAGATGCTACACGCTCAAGAAGGGGAAAAAGACAGACA